GCTACTCAGGAGGCTGAGGCAAGCAGGAGAATCACTTGAACCCGGGAGGCAGAGGTTGCAGTGAGCCCATACTGCACCACTGCACTCCAGCCTGGGTGACAGAGACTCTGTCTCAAAAAAAAAAAGTAAAGAAAAAAAAAATTGCCAGATGTGGTGGCTCATACCTGTAATCCTAGCACTTTGGGAGGCCGAGGCAGGCAGATCACCTGAGGGTCGGGAGTTCAAGACCAGCCTGACCAACATGGAGAAACCCTGTCTCTACCAAAAATACAAGAAAATTAGCCAGGTGTGGTGGCACATGCCTGTAATTCCAGCTACTCGGGAGACTGAGGCAGGAGAATGGCTTGAACCTAGGAGGTAGAAGTTGCGGTGAGCCAAGATTGTGCCATTGCGCTCTAGCCTGGGCAACAAGAGCAAAACTTCAACTCAAAAAAAAAAAAAAATTAGTTACTTTTAAATAGTGTTTCCCCTGTTCTAGTAAAAGCAAAACATATATCTATGCATAAGCAGTGAAATAGAAAGTATATAATTTAGGTGATTCCACATCTAAGTTAAATGTGCTTATCTTTCCATTGAAAACTGCTAGTGTACAATATAAAGCCGAGTGGTAAAAATTCATGCTAATAATTTTAAACTGTAGTTTATCTCTACTTGAAACAATTTTAAATAGCAAATAGAAAACACCAAGACAGGTTGGCAGAGAGGAAAAGGACATTTGAGTACCTTTACCGGTACTATTTCTCGTGGTTTTGGAAGGGGCTACATATGTGCACTTTGCCCTGGGCCCTGCAAATTCCAGAGCTGGCCGACAGCTGAGTTTGGACACCTGTTTTGGAAAAATTGCTGCCAGAAGATTCAGGTGCTCAACCGGAGCTGGGGACTTAGGGTCTATTTCAAAGGCTTTGGAGTCCTCTACTCCTGCCTGCCTGCTTCATTGCACACCTGGCCCCTCTCCACCTTTGCCTAAGGCAGTCCTGAACTCAAAGTATTCTGCCTTGCATAGCTGCAACTCTCTCTCAAGTAAGACTTACCCTATTCTTCAAATGTGCTTAATTATTATTATTATTATTATTATTATTTTGAGACAGAGTCTTGCTCTGTTGCCCAGGCTGGAATGCAGTGGCACAATCTCAGCTCACTGCAACCTCTGCCTCCCGGGTTCAAGTGATTTGCCTTCCGAGTAGCTGGGATTATAGACCCACACCACCACACCCAGCAAATTTTTGTATTCTTAGTAGAGACGGGCTTTCACCATGATGGCCAGCCTGGTCTCAAACTCCTGACCTCAAGTGATCTGCCCGCCTCAGCCTCCCAAAGTGCTGGGATTACAGATGTGAGCCACTGGCCTGGCCAAATGTGCTTAATGTTCAAGCCTGCAGTTGCCCAGCTGCTCTGAAAGGATGGCTCAGTTTTAAAAGCACTCCGTCCTGACTGCAGGTGTCATACATTGTTATTCCTTGAAGTAAAAAGGCTCTTTTCTCTTGGTTTCCAAATGCTTCTCTGACTTCTCAACTAAGCGTATATTGATAGACCACAGTCATTTTCCTAATCAACTCCTCATCAACACCAGGTTTTCCATCCTTGGAGATCCTTGAGGCTCCCTGACGTCTTCCCACCTTTTTCCTCCGGTGAAGAACATCACCCTCGGTCTTAGCAGGGCTGGCCTGGCACTCTCCACCCACCAGGCCATGATGCCCCTCTCTTCCTGCATCTGTCTCCTCCACCCCATTCTCTTCACCCTCCCCTCCTCTGCCCTGCACCAGCTGGTGCTCTGCTCTCTGCCCTCCAGCCTGGCATCAGGGCACGCTTCCTCTTCACATCAATTCCTGTTACGTCTACTAAAACAAAACCTTTAGACACAGACTGTTCCTTTCTTTTTCTTTTTCTATTCTCACTCTGTAGCCTAGACTAGAGTGCAGGGTTGCAATTTTGGCTTACTGTAACCTCCACAATTCAAGCAATTGTGGGTTCAAGCAATTCTTCTGCCTCAGCCTCCCAAGTAGCTGGGATTATAGGCATGGGCCATCACACTTGGCTAATTTTTGTTATGTTTAGTAGAGACGGGGCTTTGCCATGTTGACAAGTCTGGTCTCAAACTCCTGGCCTCAAGTGATCCATCAGTCTTGGCCTCCCAAAGTACTGGGATTGCAGGCATGAGCCTAGCCACCGTGCCTGGCTGACTTCTTTTTTCTGAACAGAAATGTCATCCCGAAAGTTTCAAATCACCCTTGTGATGGTTTTGCCCAAAGAAACCAATCATTTCATCATTCTGAGATCCCCTCTACTAAACCTTTTTATTTTCATTCTCTTCTATGGCAAACCTTTTAACCTAGGCTTACGATGAGAGGTATCTTATGGAACTTTCATTTATTTCAAATAGTCTACACTGTTACTAGGCCTATATATATTATTAATGTCCTTAGAAAGTTAGAGCTTTCAGAGGCCTAAAAGATCATCTAATCCAACTCTTTGCTTTACTGGTAAGAAAACTAGCTCAAAGAGGGCTGGGCGTGGTGGCTCAAGCCTGTAATCCCAGCACTTTGGGAGGCCGAGGCGGATGGATCACGAGGTCGAGAGATCGAGACCATCCTGGTCAACATGGTGAAACTCTGTCTCTACTAAAAATACAAAAAATTAGCTGGGCATGGTGGCACGTGCCTGTAATCCCAGCTACTCAGGAGGCTGAGGCAGGAGAATTGCTTGAACCCAGGAGGCGGAGGTTGCGGTGAGCCGAGATCACGCCATTGTACTCCAGCCTGGGTAACAAGAGCGAAACTCTGTCTCAAAAAAAAAAAAAAAAAAAAAAAAAAAACTAGCTCAAAGAAGTTAGTTTGCTCCTAGCCACCCAGCTAGTATTATGCTGGCCTTGTGTCATACTTATTAGGTATTCTGGAGCCAGGTTCAGTTCTCTTCCTTCTGTATCAGGGCGCAGCTTTGGTTACTGCATATCAAAATCACAAAAAGCAGATTGAAATGTCTTCAGAGTATTCTACTTAGTGAGCCCAGAGGGCGAAGGAGAAAATAAGTCGAAGGCTCTGGGTGCTCAGCCCTTTAGTAATTAAGAACTGGTGTTATTTTCAGCATTGCGGGAATGATGCCAGTGGTAAAAAATCACACAGCTTAGTTTCACGGATGATGATGACCTCATCAACACTAAAACAGCCACCACTGTCTCCAGCCTACAGCCCTTGCCTGAAGCCATCACTCTACTTCCTTGTATACCATCATAGGAGAGAAGTAAGGACACCATTAAGGCTCAGGGGGAAGGGAAATTTGCTGCTGCTGCTGTTGTAAGAAGCTGGAGGAAGGTGCGGGAAATAGACGAGGCCAGGACCCAACAGGATGAGCTCAAAGACGCTGGGAAGGGGACAGTCACCTCCCCGGCAGCAAGTGGAAACCAGATTCAGAACCTGAGCCAGGTAGATTCACTCTTCTAAGATCCAACAATAACATGCATTTGTAGGTCAATCAGATTTGCTCTAAAATTCTAAAGAGTTTCCACATTGTCGCCTCATTTAATCCTCAACAACCTTGAAATGTAGGTATTTGGGTTTTTTTACATAATGAGAGATAAAGAAACCAGGTTTAGAGGTGCCGCTGGCAGCTATAGAAGTTCAATTCTCTTTTCTGGTTCCCTAGTGGGTCTGTGTTTTGTTTTGTTTTGTTTTGTTTTGTTTTGTTTTGTTTTGTTTTGTTTTGTTTGAGACAATCTCACTGTCACCCAGGCTGGAGTGCAGTGGTGCAATCTCAGCTTGCTGTAACCTCTGCCTCTTGGGTGCAAGCGATTCTCATGCCTCAACCTCCTACTCATGAGTGGCTGGGATTACACACATGTGCCACCATGCCCAGCTGATTTTTGTATTTTTAGTATAGACGGGGTTTCGCTATGTTAGCCAGGCTGGTCTTGAACTTCTGACCTCAAGTAATCCACTGGCCTGGGCATCCCAAAGTGATGGGATTACAGGTGTGAGTCACTGCACCTGGTTCCCCAGTGATTCTAAAATATCTCCCAATGCAATGTAAGAAACACATCAATTTTTTAAAATTCCAAACATGGGAATGTATGACTCTGGAGGAGAAATAGGGAAATGTGCCTGGAAAGGGAAATAAAGCCCAAGGGCAAGTAAGAGCCTGTCATTGAGAGTAAAAAGGATGAGAAGCCAAGGGCGGTGGCTCACACCTGTAATCCCAGCACCCTGGAAGGCTGAGGTGGGAGGATTGCTTGAGCCCAGGAGTTTGTGACAAGCCTCAGCAACATAGCGAGATGCTGTCTGTACAAATTTTTTTTTTTTCGAGATGGAGTTTTGCTCTTGTCGCCCAGGCTGGAGTGCATGATCTCAGCTCACTGCAATCTCTGCCTCCCAGGTTCAAGCGATTCTCCTGCCTCAGCCTCCTGAGTAGCCAGGATTAGAAGTGCACGCCACCACACTGGGCTAATTTTTTTATTTTTAGTAGAAACAGGATTTCTCCATGTTGGTCAGACTGGTCTCGAACTCCCGATCTCAAGTGATCAGCCCATCTTGACCTCCCAAAGTTCTGGGATTACAGGCATGAGCCATCATGCCTGGCCTGTATAATTTTTTTTTAATCAGCTAGGTGTGGTGGTGTACACCTGCAGTCTCAGCTACTGAGGACGGTGAGGTGGGAGGATCACTTGAGCCTGGGATGGTGAGGCTGCTGTGAGCTATGATTGTTCTAGCCTGGACAAAAGTAAAACTTTGTCTCAAAAAAAACAATACAAAACAAAACAAAACAAAAAACAGGATAAGAAGTCAAAAAATATCCATGCTACCTGACCTACCACCCTGGCTTGGTAAAGGATATTGCCATTATGCTTCTAGCTCAGAGTTCTCAATCCACTGCCAGAGCCCCACTATCACCCATTTTCGTGCACAGACTATGTTGCACTTAGCAGCAGCATTATGATAATAGAGTTCCCCCCCAACTAAACTGTTGTTACTTCCAGCATTAAATGTAACCATGAATTCACATATACCCACATACAGATCATTGGAAACCAGCCTGAGTCCGGCTTCTCCTTTTGCAGAGATTTTATAGCCCCCTGGATGTGAATACAGGGCTTCACACCCTGATTCCCGGGATGATCATTCATAATGCACAATGTGGAAAATGCCCTTCAAGGAAACCAGGCTGTCCTGTGTGAACCTAGTGGGCAGGCATAGAAACAGGAAGGCTGAGATTAGAGACTGCTCTACCGTGTTTTGATGTTTCCCGAGCCATTGCTGAGGCTCTGAGAGCTGATCAAAGGTACCTCTGCAGGCTCAAATTAACACAGCCTTGGTGAATCAGGCCAGCACCTGCCTGCAAATAGCAGCATATTTCACCAAATCAAGTTAATCTTTTCGTCATGGCAGGAGGTAGCAATCCTTTCATAAAACTTTCACAGGCTATTTATGCCTGTTGCATCTTAGCTTTCTGAAGGAAAAATAATGGCCTACTTAATTTTCTTCCCTTGGAGGTACGTATTTATTTTAAAGCTGATCTTTACTCATGGTATATGCCCTTGAAGACCTCGATGCCCTTGATGCCCTAAAGAACACGCCTTGTTTCAAAAATGGTGGAGGTTTTGGGTTTGGAAGAGAAGAATGAGACTGCGTTGTCATAAATCTTCAATTTCCTTTTTTTTTTTTTTTTTTTTTTTTTTGAGAAGGAGTTTCGCTCTTGTTACCCACGCTGGAGTGCAATGGCACAATCTTGGCTCACTGCAACCTCCACCTCCTGGGTTCAGGCAATTCTCCTGCCTCAGCCTCCTGAGTAGCTGGGATTACAGGCACGCGCCACCACGCCCAGCTAATTTTTTGTATTTTTGGTAGAGACGGGGTTTCACCATGTTGACCAGGATGGTCTCGATCTCCTGACCTCGTGATCCACCCGCCTCGGCCTCCCAAAGTGCTGGGATTACAGGCGTGAGCCACCGCGCCCGGCCCCACTTTCCTTTTAACGCAGGTGGGACTTGTAACTTCAAGTATTTGTATAAGAGCAGTACCTCACCTCTACTGGGGGAAATATAGCTAACAAGCCATAATTTTTGTAGAGAGAAAACAGAAAGACACAGCACAGAGTAAACTATAGCCACTAGGGTAGTTCTAAAGATTCTAGCAGAACTCAAATAAAAAACAGAAACTTACTTTAAAAAAAAAAAAAATGGGTACTAGCCTAAGGCTGCAGGCTCAGAAAACTGATACCTAGAAAGGGAAATGAAATGTGTTGAATAATAGGTTACGTGTTAATACTTACGCAGAGAAGCTACAAAACAGATTTCTTGCCTTGGAGGAGTTCATTATTTCAGGCACTGGCTAGTCATGAGACTTAGGAAAGTGGGAGGATGTGTCAGATCCTGCAAGCCTCTCCAAGAAGCAGATGTGGTCACGAGGAAATGGAGTGGGGGAGGGGAGGGAGGAATTTGAGACAGCAGAAAAATAAGTTGTGATATTTGGAAAAGAGCGCTCACATATGATCGTCTGCCAAAGCAATCTCCAAATCTTTACTGAACAGTATAATATAAACTGAGACAGTTCCAAGTTGTTTCATTTCAGGGATAGGGAGAGCGTGAGCTCACAGCATCACCCCATGAGCATGGGGCCCATTGCAGCCGGTAACCACAGTCAAGCTGAACTTTAAAGAGTCTGTTTCCTCAGCTGCACAATGGGAATAACATGTCCCATAAGGGTTGTGAGGACTAAATATGTATATATGGTAGTCAATAAATATAATATAATAATTTAATATAAGGTGTTTGATAAATATGTATTTTCCTTCTCAAATTAAACTAATACTTTCAATTTAATGCTGGATTTACAGATGATGGAAAATAATACTATAATGGAAAGGGCTATTTTTATTTATTTATTTATTTATCTTTGAGATGGTGTCTCACTCTTTTGCCCAGGCTGGAGTGTAGTGGTGTGATCTCTGCTCACTGCAACATCCGCCTCCCAAGTTCAGGCGATCCTCCTGCTTCAGCCCCCCAAGTAGCTGGTATTACAGGCATGCACCACCATGCCCTGTTAATTTCTGTATTTTTAGTGGAGAAGGGGTTTCACCATGTTGGCCAGGCTGGTCTCAAACGCCTGGCCTCAAGCACCTTGGCCTCTCAAAGCACTGGGATTGCAGGCATGAGCCATCGTGCCTGGCTGGACTATTTTTTAAGTTTCTTACTTTTATTTTTTCAATTAACAAAAGCATGCATTTATGGTATACAGCATGATGTTTTGATACATGTATACATTGTGATATGACTGAATCAAGCTGTTAATTAGTTAATTAAAAATAAATGCTCACTTTGGGAGGCCAAGGCGGATGGATCACTAGGTCAAGAGATTGAGACCATCCTGGTCAACATGGTGAAACCCCGTTTCTACTAAAAATACAAAAATTAGCTGGGCGTGGGGGTGCAGCCTGTAGTCCCAGCTACTTGGGAGGTTGAGGTAGGAGAATTGCTTGAACCCAGGAGGCAGAGGTTGTGTTGAGCCAAGATCGCGCCATTGCACTCCAGTCTGGGTAACAAGAGCAAAACTCCATCTCAAAATAAATAAATAAATGCTGTTCTAGATTGTATAGTTTTATTGTACAAGCAGGCTAAGAAAAAAAAATGTTTTGGGTTTTTTTGAGACAGGGTCTTTCCCTGCTGTTCAGGCTAGAATGCAGTGATGTAACCGTGGCTCACTCCAGCCTCAAACTCTGTGTCTCAAGCAATCCTCCTGCCTCCGCCTTCCGAGTAGCTGGGACTAAAGGTGCATGCCACCATGCCTGGCTAATTTTTAATTTCTCTGTAGAGACAAGATCTCGCTATGCTGCCCATACTGGTAAGCCACCACGCCCAGCTGGAAAAAAAATGTTGATTAATGTAATACACATTGGCTTTTCACAGAATCATTCAAGTAAATCAAATTTCAAAATGAAAATCAGGGCTGGGCGAGGTGGCTCACACCTATAATCCCAGCACTTTGGGTGGCCGAGGCGGGATGATCATGAGGTCAGGAATTTGAGACTAGCCTGGCCAACATGGTGAAACCTGGTCTCCACTAAAAATACAAAAATTAGCTGGACATGGTGGCAGATGCCTGTAATCCCAGCTACTCGGGAGGCTGAAGCAAAAGAATTGCTTGAACCCCAAAAGCGGAGGTTGCAGTGAGCTGACATCACACCCTGCACTCTAGCCTGGGCAACAGAGCAAGACTCCATCTCAAAAAAAAAAAAAAGAAAAGAAAAGAAAAAAAGAAAATCAGACTAGGCACAGACAGTGGCTCACACTTGTAATCCCAGCACTTTGGGATGAGGCAGGATTGCCTGAGGCCAGGAGTTTGGGACCAGCCTGAGGAACACAAAGAGACGTCATCTCTATAAAATTTTAAAAGCAAAGCTTGGTGGAGCTCGCCTGTAGTCCTAGGTACTCAGGAGGCTGAGGCAGGAGGATCATTTGCACCCAGGAGTTCAAGATTGCAGTGAGGTATGACCACGTCACTGCATTCCAGCCTGGGTGACACAGCAAGATCCTGTCTCAAAACAACCACCACCACCACCAAAAAAATCCCTCAAAATATCATTGGAAATAAATTAAAAGTGGCCAGGAGGGGTGGCTCATGCTTGTAATCCCAGCACTTTGGGAAGCCCAGGTGAACGAATCATCTGAGGTCAGGAGTTTGAGACCAGCCTGGCCAACATGGTGAAACACTGTCTCAACTAAAAATACAAAAAGTAGCTGGGTGTGGGGCAGGCGCCTATAATCCCAGCTACTCGGGGGGCTGAGGCAGAAGAATCGCTTGAACCTGGGAGTCGGAGGTTGCAATGAGCTGAGATCACACCATTGCACTCCAGCCTGGGTGACAAGAGCAAGACTTCATCTCCAAAAAAAAAAAAAAAAAAAAGAAATTAGCAATAAAACGTTAATAATCAGACTAGGTAACAAGCCCAAAAGTTGTTTTCACTTGTTAAACAGAATAATTTTTTAAAAGAGGCATATGTAAAAATTTAAATGTGTACTTTTTTGCTGCATTTCAACCTACTTACAGTCTCTGAATGCCTTATCCTCACATTGCAATTTATATGGAATTGATGCCTTTAAAGTATTAAAATATATATTAGCAAAAATTTGAGACAAGATAGGAGAATTGAATTTGTCTTAAGATCATTAGAATGATCTGATCAAATGAGACTATGCTCCCATTTCAGTCATTTTCTTGATAAAGAAAATAGTTTGGAGGCTGGGTGCGGTGGCTCACGCCTGTAATCCTGGCAATTTGGGAGTCCAAGGTGAGTGGATCATTTGAGGTCAGGAGTTCCAGAGCAGCCTAGCCAACATGGTGAAACCCTGTCTCTAATAAAAATTTTAAAAAATGAGGCGGCTTGGTGGCATGCGCCTGTAATCCCAGCTACTTGGGAGCCTGAGGCATGAGAATTGCTTGAACCCGGGAGGAGGAGGATGCAGTGGGCTGAGATCAAGCCACTGTACTCCAGCCCGGGTGACAGAGTGAGACCCTGTCTCAGGAAAAAAAAAAAAGAAAAGAAAATAGTTTGAAACTTTTTTCTTTCTTTTGTTTTCTTTCTTTCTTTTACTGAGACCGAGTTTCTTTCTTGTTGCCCAGCTTAGAGTGTGATGGCACAATCTCAACTCACCGAAACCTCCACCTCCCGGGTTCAAGTGATTCTCCTGCCTCAGCCTCCCAAGTAGCTGAGATTACAGGAATGCACCACCATGCCCAGCTAATTTTGTATTTTTAGTAGAGACAGGGTTTCTCCATGTTGGTCAGTCTGGTCTCAAACTCTCGACCTTAGGTTATCCACCCGTCTCAGCCTCCCGAAGTGCTGAGATTACAGGCATGAGCCACCTCAGCCAGCCTAGAATATTTAAAAAAAAAAAAAAAAAAAAAAAAGCTGACACTTCTAGGGTAACAATTTATCTTTTGAAATCCCTCCATGGTTTTATTTTTCTTACCTGTATGCTATTGTTAAATGTTTGTCTATATATTCCTTCTAAATCTGAGTAAATTTCCATCACTGGATTTGGTTCCCTTTTTAAGTCACCCACACTATGCTTCAAAGGTTGCATATTCTATTGATGTCTATAACACATTTCATTCAAACACCCTGTTTCCTTGATAGTTGGTTAAATCCCTGTACTACTGATTATTTTTATTCATTGATTTCTCATGCTTCCCTTCTTTGCCAGCTGTGCTATTGTAACCATCAAGCCTAAGTTACTGCTCTTCTTTCAGCCACAAAGCATTTGTTAAATGTCTCTCTTTTCAGCCTCTGAATCATAAAACTCAGCCCAGAACATAGCCTGTTTTTAATTAGAGGTCACGATTTTTGGAGGTTAAGACTTGACACATTCTCCTGTTAATGCGCTTAATGAGACCTAAAACTGATCTCTAAACATTGCTTTTTGCTCGCTGGCCAGTTTCCAGAGATAAATTTTACTTTTTGATTTAATACAAATGAATATTTTGTATTCCTGCAGTGTTTTGAGGTCTACCAAAACTAAGTCAGAGGCTTACTTTTACATTTGTATGAGCAACGTGTATATAGTGTCAAATATCAAATTTATGCGAACTCTAATTGAACAAGCTGACCTGGGTGACAAAATAATTCTACAGAAAATTACATTTCTCTAAGACAAATTACATTTCTGTAAGACTATAATTTTCAGTCCTTCTGTCCAAACAAAAAGACTACGAAAACCATTTTTTTTTTCTTTTTAGGTCTAGAAAAAGAACGGTCAACTCCATTTGTTCTGGATAAGGAGAGAAACAACGGCTGATTTAAAGAATTATTTAAGGCGGTGGTTCTCAATCTTGTCTATGCATTGGAATTACTAAGAGATCTAAAAATTCCCAACTCGAGGCCACAGTATTTTTTTTTTTAGCTTTCTAGGTGATTCCAGTGTCAAGTTTGAGAACCACTAATTTGGAGTTTCAAAGTAACTATAGTAAAATTCTAGTTTCTAGTAATGGTGGATTTTTTTTTCTCTTTTTTTAGACTAATCTCCTGCAGGTAGCAATCATAAAGTATGAATGAACAAAAAGTTAAACAAACAAAAAACTAGTTGAAGGCCTGAAGAATAACCAAAAGCAGGCAGAAACTGGAGATCATCTTCCCTTAAAAGAAGGGAACCTCAAGATATACAAGTTTGTACCTTTAAACCTGAAGGCAGTCTTTATTCTTCAAAAGGTTACGGTGGCAGAAAGCTGCAACTTCTGTGGCTTGAGATGTCAAGGACAGAGGTGGAGTGGGGAGAGCAGAGCAAAAGTTAGGAAGGCTAGGCGAATTCTGGAAAGAGGGGAACTGAAGAAGGAGCAAATCTCAACCTCTGAACAGATATTTTATTCAAATCCGTAGTTGATTTGTGCTGCAGGGGAGACCCCAGTGGGCCCACTGAAAGGCAGCAGCTGGAAGCTGAAAACTAATCAGAGACTGCGGCTGCTTATCCATTACAGGATGGTTTGAAGTTTCAGTTCAGCCAAATGAGCTGCCTGAGGACAAATGTTAACTGTTCAGAGGAATGTAGCTGAATCCATAGTCTTTATGAATGTACCACCCATATTGTCCAGCATATAATAAAAAACAGACAAGCAAAAAAAAAAAAACAACAGTGACCCCATACAGAAGTGAAATACAATCAGTCGAAACTGATTCTGAGTAAGACATGCTACAATTAGCAAACATGTATTTAAGAGAGCTATTATAAATGCATATAAGGATATATATTTATAGCAATGAGGAATCTCAGAAGAGAATTAGGAATGCTTAAGAACCAAATGGAAATTTTACATGTGAAAAATATACAATAACTGTAATGAAAGTCCACTGAATGAGTTTATCAGCGTACTGAAAATAGTACAAGAGTTAGTGAATTGCCAATAAATTATACAAATTGTTCCATCTAAAATGAAACAAGACTGAAGAAAGAAGAGCTTCAGAGACATGCAGGACAACCTCAAGTGATCTAATGTAAATTTACTGGCTTCTAGGAGAAAGGAAAGCAGAAAATAAATTGAAAAAAAATGGCCAAAATTTCCCCAAATTTGACTTTAAAATAAAAATAAAAACACAGATTTACAGATCCAAGAAGCTCAGTGAATCTCCAGCTAAGTAAGTACAAAAAAAACCATACCTAAGCACATTTTAGTGAAACTGCTGAAATTCAAAAAACAGGCAGAGAGAAAGACATTATATATATGAGAATAATGATGCAAATGACAGCTGATGTCTCATCAGAAACAATGGAGGCCAAAAGACAATAAATGCTTTTGAAGTGCTATAAGAAAAAAAGCTATCAACCCAGAATTCTCCATCGGTGAAACGATCCTTCAAAGATTAGTGAAAGAAAGTCATTTTCAATGAGCTCATTTTCAAAGAGTTTCAATGAGCCTAAAACTTATCACAAGCAGGCCTGGATTACAGTTCTCAAAGGAACCATTCAAGCTGAAAAGGAAAGACATCAGATGTCACTTAAATATATAGGAAAATGAAGAACATCAGAAATGGTCAACATTTGGCAAATATAAAAGATACATTCTTTTTTCTCTTAATCATTTGAATGACATTTGCTTGTTTTAAGTAAAAATTATAGCATCGTCCTGCTGTGTTTATTATCTATGTAGCCATAATATATGTGAAAAACCAAGGAAGAGAGAGGGAGTATGAATGGAACTGTACTGCCGCAAGGTTCTATATTTCATGTGAAGCTGTATCATGTTAACCCTAAGTAGACTGCAGTAGGTTAAATATGTTGTAATACCTAGAAGAACCATTTAAAAAATACAGTGTATGGTTTATAAACCAATAGAAAAATTAAAACACAAAACTGCATTTGTACCCCCTAAATCTATAAAAACAGGCTGAGCTTGGTGGCTCACGCCTGTAATTCCAACACTTTGGGAATCTGAGGCAGGCGATTCATTTGAGGTCAGGAGTTTAGACCAACCTGGGCAACATGACAAAATCCCATCTCTACTAAAAATACAAAAAAATTAGCCGGGTGTGGTGGTGCATGCCTATAATCTCAGCTACCTGGGAGGCTGAGGCACGAGAATCCCTTGAACCTGGGAGCTGGAGGTTGCAGTGAGCCAAGATCATGCCACTGTACTCTGGCCTGGGCAAGAGTGACCCTGTGTCAAAAAAAAAAAAAAAAAAAACTTTAAAAAGAAAAAACAAATATTCTCGATGCAAAAGTCTCATCTAAAAAAAAAAAAGGAAAAAAAAAGAAAAAGAAAAAAAAATTCAACCTGATAAAAGGCAGAAAAAGAGGAGCAGCAAAAAAAAGCCAAATGGTAAACTCAATCTAAACATATCAATAATTACAGTAAATGTCAATTGACAAATGCTAAGTAAAAGGCAGAGTGAAAAAGCAAGACCCAACTATATGCAATATGAGACGAACTTCAAAAACACAAAGGGGTGAAAAGTGAATAAACTGGGGGCGGGCTGGGAAAAAAAATTTAAAAAAAAAAGATATATTGCATCATGTAAATTATAAGCATAAAAATCATTTCTATTTGGCTTTGATCTTAAGAGCTTACATTTTTCAATTACATGTACCTGTTTTTAAATAATGGTTTACACTCACTGAACATCAGCTATTATCAACCATGACCTGTAACAACCTCCATAGAGAAAAAATGAAGGAAAACAGAGAATTGACGGTGACTTTTTTTTTTTTTAATCTTTGGTTTCATTGACTCTCTTAATAGCTTTTCTTTTAAATGAGTCATACGGCTGCTTTCCTTCCCCTTCCAGTGTGAGTGATGAAACACTGTACCAGGGCAAACCCTCAACTGTACTAAAGCAAAATGTTCAGCCTTTGATCTAGCTGTTGGAGCAAGTAATGATTCTTGACCACCTTTGCGTCATTCATTTTTATTAATGTTTGTGTTGTTCCTTGTGTTTACTTTCCTAGTACTTTTTGGGTTTTTATCTATTTCTGTGACTCTCTGAGGTGGGGCTAGATCACTCTGAGTACCCTACAAAGCTGTACCCCACAGGCACAACATTCCCTTGATTTTCTTAACACCTCTGGGTAGTCATCATAAGTTTTTTCTTTCACTTACAAGAAAAGTCTTTGAGTTTAGCTCTTTCTACAGTAGGGGCTTTCTAAAATAGTTTCAAAATTAGACAACCTTAAATTTGTAAGAATTTTCCTACATTCTTTAAACAATACTGAAGCTCTGATGCTCCCTCTCACACTTACAATTCATAGCTGGGGCAGAGCTGGAAAGAACATGACTGTAACAACAAAGAAAGCTCATACTAAGCATGACTACAAAGAATGGTTTTGTGGCATGTGACAAATCTGCTCAACCATACAAGTGAAAGGAGCAACATCAATTCCCTTCTGGCCATCTGGGCTTTGTAAGTGATTGTCCATCCCCACAAACTCCGCTTGTACATAGCACTATTTTTTCACAAACTGTGACCTTGGAAAATACTTACCTAATAAACTAACAATCCCACCATAGACAGAATCCCACTGTTTACTTCATTTTCAAAAACATTTTAAGATGTTTTAAAAGGCCATTTCTCTGCAAATACTATGCTATATTTGAATAGAAATGCTCTAACTAACTGTACTACTGAAATTATTTTAAAGGGTAATGTGGAAAAGGGCAAGAGATTGCTTGGGTTGTTTTCTTCTGGAAACTTAGCAATAACTGGATGCTTCAAGACTTTTCTTTACAAAATGGTCACGTTTTAAACTATGCAGCATAGATCAATAAGGGATTTAGTGGCTAAACACTGAAATGATTCAATTTGCCATGCAGTTTAAGTAAAGTTCTAAGGGCCTGCTATCAAGAGTAAATATCACACATCCTGTTTATGCAAACTGGCTTGTTGTCCACAGTTTTTCAAAGAGCTGGTGACACCCCCTAACACTGCACCCTACCCCTCAAACTTCCTGCTCACTGGGGTGCTATATTCCTACTCATTTTTAAGAAGCGCCTCCCTCAACAGAAATACTCTGAATTACAACAATTTTTAAAGAAAATACTTTATTATGTCATGAAAAAAAGGCATCAACTAGATTCATACTTATTTGAAAAAAAAATTGAAAATTTATTAATTAGACAGTATGTGGGCATCCTGTTCCACATGGGAATGAGAAGATGCTATAGGTTCTCTAAGTATTGCACAGTCTGAAAAAATAACAAAAACAGGGATGGGAGGGGAAAAAAAAAATCACATGATATTGGGAACCTCTCACATTATGAATAATCTACCAAGAAACATTTAAAAAAGAAAACCCTTCGTTTCTACAGTAGCTTTGAGTTTATAGTTCTTGGAATGACTGTATTACATTGAAGACATCTCAGTAACAGGAAGCTGTTTTAGCAATCCCATGTGCAAATATTAATAAAAAATATATAAAATAATGTAATTCATCTCTTGCCATCACCCCGGCAATCATGACATTTCTGAGAACGGTTTTGCTTGAAAATGGGTTAAGCTGTAAGTTTTGCCTGAAGCTCCATCTCTGCAGCCCGTTTGAGTGCAACATCCACTAGAAGCTGAAATCCGCTGAAGTCCTGGTTGAGGTCCGGTGGAGTAGGGGGAGGAGTGTTGAAAAGACCACTCTGTGTATTTGTACTTGGTCCAGATTTACACGTGTCCTCTGGGTACATGAGAGAGGTGTCTGTGAAGTTGCTGGCCGCTATCTGCTGTATATCTGTGTTTTGTCCCACACCAACCGACTGGCAGAGAGAGAAAGGGACATCTTTCAACGCAGTCACAGTGGTATGGCAGATCACTGATGGACGAGCCAAAACTGATCCCGGGGATGATGGCTTAGGAGACAGTGGCCTCCCTAGGGTTTGGTTTGGCCCAGCTGTACAGGAATGAAACGGGGTCTCCTCTAGAGCTGGCATGAAGTTTTTGATGCCCATCACAGACTCCACAGAGCTCGTTTCAGAAATCTTGGCTCCGCGGCGGGAAATTGTGAACTGATTTGGATCTTTGCCATCCTTTCTCAGCATGTCAGGGAGAAGCCTTCGGCGGGCGTTGATGAACCAGTTACAGACCTGAAATCATATCGGTACGCTTTAACACTTTCCTCATTCACTCAGACAACAGGTTCTGAGAATGTTCTGGGGTACCTAATTGATCTTTCTCTCTGTATTAAAGAAAGCATGAAAAGGCTTATCTGGACTTACAATGTAATTTCAAGGTATTTGAGCTCCGCCAAGCAAGAAAGCTGCCTCCTATCGTAAACCTTATTCTAGTTTCTAATACAAATTTCCTTTTTTGTCCTTAAACGTTTTCAGGAAGAAGAAAAAGTTATGAACTCTCTGCCAGGCGCGGTGGCTCATGCCTGTAATCCCAGCACTTTGGGAGGCTGAGGGGGGTGGATCACGAGGTCAGATCGAGACTATCCTAACCAACATGGTGAAACCGATCCCTACTAAAATATAAAAAATTAGCCCAGTGTGGTGGCACACGCCTGTAGTCCCAGCTACTCGGGAGGCTGAGGTAGGGGAATTGCTTGAACCCAGGAGGCAGAGGCTGCAGTGAGGGGAGACTGTGCCACTGCACTCCAGTCTGGTGACACAGCAACATTCCGTTTCAAACAAACAAACAAACAAATCAAAATATAAAATCTCAAATGCTTGAAAACAATTTGAGAGAGTGAGAGAAGTTTGCCTTTTAACTCTCCCCCATTTTAACCTATCACCTACTGTCCCAACATTTAAGTTAATCAACTACAGGAAAACCTCATCTTATGAAAAGGGCCACTCCTCCCAGTAACTGATTTTTCCCAGTTCAAACGACTATGTCAACAGATATAACATGAATTACCTCACTGAAGTCTGTCCTTGTTTAAATATCAAACCAGTTTCCTGGGCAAGAGTAAGGTTTAACCTCCTTCTAATGTCTGTTGCATAAAGAAGTTTCCTTTAGGCGTTAAAGGAAATGCTATCTGACAGATAACTGTGAAGTGTTTCTGTGTTCTCTAAATAGCTAGTTATTAGCTTTTAACACTATCAAGTTTACAATAAAAAGATATTCCTTCTGTCTTGGGAGTGGCGAGGAGCTTCACGACTCACAGGAATGCCATAAAATGACTTTGAAAATAAAAAAGCCTCTGTAAACCTCATGCTCTCTTTCTTTACCTGTAGTGTAGACAGGTGTGTTTGCTGGGACAGCAATGCTTTTTCTTGCTCAGAAGGATAGGCATTGTAACGGTGCTCATACAGCCAATCCCGAAGAATCTGCACAGACTCCTTGGGTAGGTTGCCCCTTCTCCTTCTCTTGCTTGAGCCAGCGGATGAAGAAAGGTCCAAGGGAATGTCCATACTGTCCTCATCCTCACTCTCACTGCCAGATGCTGCAACAATACCTACGAAAGGAAAAGGGCCAGCTGTCAGTTGCTTTTAGAAGCAGAGCAGCTACTGCAAAGCTCACTTTGGCGGACCATTCAGTGTAACCATGTTTTCCCAGCAACCGAGAGCGAGAGAAGGAGCAGTGTTTTCTGTCCTGAATTCAGGGTACAAGTAAAAGTAATTTGACTAGCATCACATGGGAGATTCTCAACCAAATGCCAGACGCCTTTTCTCAGCCGCTTTCCTCCAGGATTCATTAACTTCTCACATTCCTTTTGAATGATGCTCAGAAAACTCTTTCGTCTAATCATTAGAGGAGACAAATTGCACCCAAAGTGAATAACCTGTCACATCTGAAACAGGAAGGGTGCTGTGGCAGCTGGAATGTGCCTACCAACCTTCTTTCTGAGATCAGTGCTAACTAGGAAAAGCAGCCTAACGAGTATCCTAATGTAGATTTTAAATGTTATTCTTCCTCTTTCTTCTACTGAGGGTTTGAAGTAAAAGGGGACACTCGTACATTTTTTTTTTTCACGGGTATACAGAAGGAAATTTACATACTACACCGAACTCAGTATCCTAAAGGTAAAATACATGCTAAAACTTTCTGCTAATACCATGCCAGGTCATTTAGTATTCATTGCTATCTATATTTATTCGAAATTAGACACCTACTTTAAGTGGGCAGTAATAGCCACTTTTTATTAAATATAACCACTGACATTTTCCGTTTCATCACACAAAAATATTTTTCTACTACTGGTACTTTAATAAGGTTAAAAGTTGCCTAATAGTAAATGAAATTTAAATGCCTCCTAAATTTCAGCTGCCAGTTAGATCTCAACCTAGAATAGAATACTACATATCAATAAGCAGAGTTTAGTTTTAAATGATTACATGACAAAGGAAACTGAATATGCAATCCCCAGAGGAAGTTCTTTTGGCTGTTTAAGTACTTTAATCCTGCCAGAAATTTTAAGAATTCACAAGCCATAGAGACTATTTAAATCACTGATGGACTGGGTTCAATAAAACCACAGACCTGGCCTTTATAGATATTTAAACATGATTCTGAACTTAAAAAAAAAATTAAATAACAAACACTATTAACTCTACCTTTCAAAAACGACAGCAGGCTACTCCGAATGACTAAAGAAATACATTCTTTTGTTTGTGGTCAATCTAGAATCTTAAAAATAGAAATGAATTACAAACAATCGCATGCCTGAAAACATCAGTACTTCTTAGGGGAAGTAACTAAAATAACAAAAAAATGTAAAGGTATGCATTTTTAGCTTTGTATACTTTGTTTCCTCTGTAGTATGTAATTTGGTTGAAAACATTACTTGACCTTAATTAAGCCAGGTCACTTTGACAGGAAATAAAAACGAAATATTCCCTTTAAGCTAAACACCAATTTTTTTTTTTTTTAAAGGAATTTTCCCCACCCTTTTAATTGACTCTGACTTGGTGACACATTTTTAGTTTTGGACTGCAGGGGGCAGAAGTTGCTGGAGGCTGTTCCTACAAAAGGCAGAACTCTCCAAAGACAAAGTGAAGCAAGTTCTAACAAAGAGGTGGATCATCTTGCAAATTAACTTTAGCTCAGGGCTTAACAAACAGCTACAAATAAACCGCCTAAGAATCCTAAGTTTTAACTGCCCTGCATTTTAAATTTCCCTCCCCGGATGATTGAAATTTTGTAAAAAGTTTTTTAAAAGTGCCCATTTAAAACTGAAACTACTTTCACTATTGACAAGATGAGACTTTCAAAAACCGTATTTAAATTTGGGTGAAGAACTATTACAAAAAAGCTTAAAGAAACTATAGCTGAGTTCCTGTCTCACACTGGGTTTAATATTAAAGAAATCGAACTTTAAAAAAAGTGTCAAGTTAATTAAATGACTAAAGCAAATTTGAATAAAGCAATTTGTTTAAACTCTCCTATGTCTGAAAAGCCAGACATTATTCTCAAGGCTATTATCTCCTTCCTTTTTTTAATCTAGAAAAAGTGTGAAAATTTGCTCATTGAACAGTGAATTCCCAACTGTAAGTTGGTAATCACAAAGAGTCTGAAACAAAAAAGCCCCTGAAGCCTGCCCTTTGATCTGCTTGCCTAGTTTGACAAGAAGTCTGATCTTTCAGAATAGGTTAGTGACACACAAAAGCAGGTTTCAGTTAAGCAACACCAAACTGCAGCGCGACTTTATACTCTGTTCTCAGTTCATTTAAATAAATGAATGCCAGGCCTCTGGAACTCTTAACAAATATTTCCAATATGTGCACAAAAGCTGAAGTAACAGGAAGTTAAGACTTCAGTTCCTAGGCTATGCCAGCTGATATTTCACTGCAGTAAAACCACGTTTGCTGCTGTCAGGACTGTTTTCATTAAAACCCTCCCTCCTGGTTGTGGCTTCACTTGGAAAAACAAAGACTTTTTTCCTCCTTACTCATTTCCTATTGTAACAGAGCTTTTGAAAAGTTTCCCGGTTAAGCCTTGTTTCCAAACTTCTTGCATTGCTTACACTTCAAAAAATGTGGCGGTGGGAAGGGTGGGGGCAGAATCACAAACTTCTTTCATTCTATCCACATACAAGGAAATGTTGTGTAGAAAGCCACAACATGGCCTGAGGATCCCACTGCTCTAAGCAGAGACTTTGTTTCTGCACTCTTTCTTTTTTGAGACGGCGTTTCGCTCTTGTTGCCCAGGCTGGGGTGCAATGGCGCGACCTTGGCTCACAGCAACCTCCGCCTCCCGGGTTCAAGCGATTCTTTTGCCTCAGCCTCCCGAGTAGCTGGGATTACAGGCATATGGCACCACGTCCTGGTAATTTTATATTTTTAGTAGAGACGAGTTTTCTCCATGTTGGTCAGGCTGCTCTCGATCTCCCGACCTCAGGTGATCTGCTCGCCTCAGCCTCCCAAAGTGCTGGGATTACAGGCGTCAGCTACCGTGCCCGGCTCTGCACTTTCCTGAATAGCTCGGTAACACCAAGATGAGACTGAGGGGCAGGGGGAGACTCTGGTTGTGAAGAGAATCTAGAAATAAGATCGATGGCAAAAGTCGAGGTGCACAATTAGGGAAAAGCAAATTTAACCCAAGTTTCCTGATCAGAAGTTCACCTTTGATCCGGGAGAGATGTCTCTTGCCTGTAATACCAGAACTTTGGGAGGCCAAAGCGAGAGGATCTCTTGAACCCAGAAGTTCGAGCCCAGCCTGGGCAACACAGCCGAACCCGTCTCCAGAAAAAAAAAAAAGAAAAAAAAAAATTCAATATATTCTTGGGAGAAGCAACAGGAATCGAACACCCAAGCCATCAAATCCAAGGTATCTGAGGCGACCCCAGCCAAAGAGCAATCCTAAAGCAGTAATTCAACAGTTAGAAACTGGGAACAAAAAGATCTTATCGATCCTTCTTTCGGCTTGTTTTTAAGCCACTTTAAGAGATCTTTTGGCGTCACTCCCAGCTTTCTGGGAGGACACGCTATTATCATACACCAGTCTTACCAAACCCCGGGCTTGAGAGAATGGAGTTTGAAAATGCACTTGTTTTAAGAAAACCTGAAAAGATTTCAGACTTTTATAGGACAATAGGCGGGCCCGACTTCCTCAGGAGTCCTTCCAGAGCCGACCGGGAAGGCTCCCCCCTCCCAAGTACTTTTAGAGGCGCGGGAGGAGGACCGCGGAGGAGCACGGAGAGAGGGAGGGGCCCAAGGAGGAAAGCAAGTAGCTTTTGTTCTTGAGAGTTCCGCAGCCCCAAGTGAAACAGGCCCGCACACTGCACGAGTTAGCAGAAGCAAAGGAACTCCAGGTCCCAAGAAACTAGAAATGAGGCCGTGAATCCCATGTTCTCAGGGGCCTGCCCACCCCAGACGACTCGCCAGGGGAACCTAAAAGGGAAAAGAAACCCGGGTAACCTCGGCAGCCTCGGCTGCCCCCACGAGCCCTGAAGCACTCGCAAAGTTTCTCCTCCAGCACGTCACCTTTGTTTCCATGAGTCGGCACCGAAGAGATGGACCCGGCGCGCCCTGGGATGCGGATCCCGGAGGTTCCCACCCTTGCGGCCCGCGGAGCCCAGCCTGCGTCCCCGACTCTGGGGAGAGGGCACGCGGCGGTGGGGGGCGCGCCGGGGGAGGGGGCAGGAAGGCCCCGGAAGTACAGAGGGGGTCGCCAGGGAGGGCCAGGGCGCTGGGGGAAGGTAGGGGAAAGTGCCCCGGGAGAGTCGAAGGGGACGCCAGGGAAGCCGTGGAGGAAGAGCGCCAGGGTTCCCGCTGTGGGGGGCAGGCCAAGGAAGATAATCAGAGCCGCCCCCGCCAGAGCCCGAACAATGCGGGGAGCCCACCCGGGCGGAAGCCGGGCTCTGCGCTAGAACCACGCTCCTCTTAACAGACACCCCCACACTTATTCGGGGAGCCCCACCAGAGCAAACAGCGAGCGTGCCTAGACCTGTCAGTCCTCCCAAGGGTCGGCACGGCTTTCACCGGGCGTCTCGGACGCTCCCCGCGCGTTTTCTCCCAGAGCCAATTCCCCGTCCAGTGTCCTCCCTCCGTCCCGCGGGGAGGGGGCCTCGGGGCGTTCTACCGCCAACGACTACCAGTTGATCCGAGTTTCACGTTTAATGTCACTCTCGCTGGGAAAGCCTGGCGGCAGAGGGAAGCTCCGCGCGTTTCGGGGCCTCCCACAGAAACGCAGCCGAAGGAACCCCGCTGGCCTAGCGGCTACCCCCAAGGAACGCCCCCCAGCGGGCCGAGTCTGAAAGAATGCGGAGTTCCAAACTCCGGGCCGCTCCCGGGCATGCGCAGCAGCGCCGCCCCTCCCGTCCGCTTCCCGAGCGATTAACTTCTGTTTTGAAGCACTCCACAGAAATCACAACAGAAACGCCACCTCCAGCCCACGGCGGAACACTCGGGGGACCTCCCAGCCAGGGACTCAAAAGTTAACTTCAAAAGGGACTTCACATTCTTTGACCTTTCGGGGTGGTGTGTGTGGTTTCTTCCCCCCGCCCCTCGCGGTGTATTTTGTTTTTAAACCAAACTGACGGCAAGTTTTAGTTGCAAAGCTTCCAGAACGCTTTGTGGAAACAATGACAGCCTTGCTCTTTGCACTTACAACCAAGCCTGCTTGTCACTTTTGGACACATTTTGACTGCACGCCGCTTGAAGCGGCTGGCTCTGTGTCCTAACTCTTCCTCCTGCCCCAAAATTCGTCGTGGGAAAACTTTGAGAGACTGAGAATTTGTAAAAGTCTGGCTTTCCAGAGCTGTTTACAACCAAGGACGATGTGGGGGTCCACAATCACATTCCCTCCAGCGTAAAAACGCCACATCCCTGAAGAACAGTGCTCGGGCCGGGCTGGGAGTAGAGGGGCGGTAGCAGGGAGCTCAGGAGTGAACTTTCTTTCAGACAAAGGCGCGGCGCTGCCGCAGCCCCCACCGCCTGGGATAGCGATAGGGAAAAACGAGGTGCTGGGTCCCCCCGACTCCGACCCCATATCTCCAGCACTCGAGAAAGCGAGCAGCCACGCGGCTGCTGGGCCGAGCGTGGGGTGTCGCCGGAGACAATGAAATTTGCAGGCGCACAAACAAGGCGCTGAGCGTGTTTCTTGACAACGTGCCAGCAGCGTGGAGAGGATCGCCCCACCACAGCCCCTCGTGTTGTGTCTAGCAGGAAAACGGCCGCTGCCGTTTCAGACGCAGCCTCAACAAAGAGCACGGCCGCCGCTCCAGCCCAAGCGCCTCTGAGCGGAAAAGTCCACCAAGTGACCCGGCGCGGCGCGACACGGACAGCACGTTTCCCCCGGACTCGCGTCCCCCGGTGCGCGCAGCCCGCGGCCGCCTTACCTTTCTTGCCTTTCATTCTGGAACTCCCCTCCCAGCGCGAGGCAGGGCTGGGGTCTCGAGGGGCCAGGAGCGGGGACCCAGGGGACAAGCGATCGTCTCCTTCACGGCCGACTCTCCTGTAACTTGTAGGACGTGCTCCAGCCGTTACTGCTAAACAGGGCGCTCTGATCCCTGGCGCCCGCTCCTTGGGTGGAATTCAAGTGACACTCTGGCTTCCTCCTGCCGGGATCTTCTGGCAGCCGGCCGGGGGCTCTCCCTCGCCCAACTCTCTCTCCTCCCCTCTCCGCTCCTTTGTTCCCTGCTCCTGCTCGGCGCACCTCGGCGCTGTCAAGAGTGAGAGGCGAGGAGGGAAGGTACAGGAGGTCCTGCCTCCGCCCCCAGCCGCCCGCCCCGTCCCCCCCCACCCCCGCCCCGCCGCTCCTCTGCCCCTCCCCCGCACCTTCCAGCCGGGGAGGATTGGACCGAGCGCGGTGGCCGCTGTCACTAGTCCCTGGGGCGGTGAGCGCGGACGCGGGGGACGGCCCTGTCCAGAAACACGATCCTTTCCGCCTGCCGCTCACCGACCTCCCGCATCCCTCGTCCGGCGGTGGGGGCACCAGCCGAGCGCCCCAGGTTTCTTCCTTAGGCCTTTCTACCCGGGACTGGCAAAGGTGCCTTTGGTCAGGAAATTGCAACAGATGGAAAAAAGGACACCTCCCTCCTTCCCTCCTCTACCCCAAGGGAGAAGAAAAGCCTCCCCGTCTCGTTTTTGACAGCTACCCCGAACTCCTCTGTCCCCGCTCCAGCCGCACGAGACAGCCGCCTCTGATTCAAGGGGCGGGGCACTGGAAGAAAAGTATTCGAGACAAGAACCAACTTCTTCCAGAATGCGCGGCTGCCGTTGACACGCGGGCGCGGCGCGGCGCACCCTTCTCCTCCCGGGGCTCTTCCTCCAGCAACAGTGGGAGGTCGGCGGGGGTGGGGGGTTGGATGATGAGACACAGCCTAAGCGAACGTCTGTTCCCCCGGGCTAAAGCTGCGAGTTCCGGACTGGATTGCAAGGCAGTTTCGAAATCTGACACGTTGCGGACAGACACTTGTCATGCTCACATGCTCTTTAAACGAACGTCTCTGCCTGGGGACGGCCGGGCGCGCGCCCGCCTCGCTACCGACACCCCCATTCGCCGGACCCCAACAGCAGCGCTTTTACAGCTCAGGGGCGACCACGCCGTGGCTGCTCATCTGTTTCGGTCAGCAGTGTCTACTTTTAGGACTGGAACCCTGCTAGTGGAGCCCTCTTCCCCTCCGGCATTTCAAACAGAAACTAGCCATTAAGTAAACACGCGTTCCTGTTGACTTATTTTGGTCCACAGTTAGGAGGGATCCAACAGGAGTTTGATGAAATTGCCCTTTCAAAGGTCAGATGCTGTTTGGTTGACTTAAAGAAACGCATGCCCCCTCCTCTGGTTCTAGTTTTCGCGTGGTTACGTCCCGTTGTTTTGAAGCAAACGAACTGTCACATGCCACACAATGAGACTTCCTCCATCACTTAAAAAAAAAAAGAAAAGAAAAGAAAAGAAAAAACCCAAACGTAAATAAGCCTAGCAGAGACAGCGCCCGGGTCTGCCTCCAGCCTGGGCTCTGTGCTGTTTTTGTTCTGTAACCTCGGTGGAGATGCCGGCAGGAGAAGCTGTGCGGAAATAAGGTTAAACCTCAGGACTGCTAAGACAGCCAAGGGAAAACTAACTCGACTTTGGAGCGTCTGTTTCAGGCTTATGCCGAAAATTAGAGCCAGCCTGCCACCCTCAAAAAAAAAAAAAAAAAAAAAAACCCACCCCCGCCCCGAGAGTGCGTGGAAGCCAGAGTTTAAAGAGCCTGGGTGGTTTTTCCAATTACAGGACTTAAAATGAATCAACAGGGGAAAAAAAGCGTCTCTCTAAGCAGGCAGCAACCTTACGATTTTTTTTCTTCTGTGGTTTGCTGACTGCTCGGCACAGAAGGCAACACACATCTAAAACTGCTCCTGGGGAACGTGGTCCTGGGGAGAAGCCACCCGTCCGGACGCTGCACGGCAGCTGCCGAGAGCGCAGTTGCTTCCTGGGCCTGGCTGCAGATGAATCAGCTGCTGCGCCCAGTGCGGGACAGATGTGGCGCGGGGAGCCGGCCAGCGCCTGGGCCGCCCGTTAGAGGGCCGCCTCGCTATTTCATTTGAAGGGTTGTTTGTGGCTGGGATTGGTGGCTCATACCCGCTGGGGAGCCGGGAGCGAAGGGAGGAGAGACGCAAGGAGGAGGAGTCGGGGGCCGGGCGACGCTGCGACTCCGCGGTCTGAGTGGCAGGAGCCTCGTCTGCAACCGGCGGTTACTGGGGAGACGCTTTGTTTGCTAACTTCGAAAGCTGCTTCGGCTGCCTCGGCCGCTTTCGAAGCCACTCCACTAAACACGCCTTCGGTCGGTTTAACCCTGCCTACCCACCGTCCCCGCCCGCTTTGGGCAGCTCGAGACAAAAATGTTTCCTTCTTCCCCGTGGTTCTCCTTGGCCACGCCGTGGCTTTCATTACGTACACAAAGGTAGCTTTGCTTTCATCCAAGTGGACTTGGCTACTGACTGCGATTCTCAGGCAACCGAGATGGAAACCGAGAATTGGAGAGGGTTTATAGCTTGAAAACAAACTTTCCAGGGGAAGCGGGGAGGGGTAGAGAGAATTTAAAAGTGGCTTTCAAATTAAGGAAAGTTAAAAATGGAGATGTGAACTCACCTTGGCTAGTTGTCAGGCTTAATCGGGCCGATGCACGATCAAATCATACCGAAAACAGTTACTAAAGCTCGCGAGGCGCTCCAAAGAGAAACACTGGCACAATTCTGAGATGCAGCGAAAGCTTATAGAATACGCCCCCCGCAGATGCACCCCCAACTGCCCCCTACTCCCCAAGGCTGATCCCAAACTTGTTTGGAGCTTTGGATTCTTGGTGCATTCTGGAAAGAAAGTGCCTGGGGTCAGCGCAACATAACAAAGGAAAGAGCCTCAAAAAAGTGGGCTAAGGTACCAGCAATTGCTTAGGATATTTTTTTGTTGATTCGTTTTTCTCGAGGTGGAAAAACAAGTTTCGGTTCTAGCTTTGTAGTCCCTTGGAGTCTCGGGGCCTTACTATAAAACGGATTCAATGACTTAAGATTCTTTCCAGTGCTTTTTTTTTTTTTTTAAGAAAAGTATATGGAATCAAATTTGCTACGTATTATTCGCTGATTCATATGAATGTTAATTGAATTGGGAAAGTGCCAGAGTAAAATTCAGGCGTTGCTTAGTGCTGGCAGAGGCTGCTGATAAACGTTTTTGACCATTATTTTTCTTCTCTCTAGGCACACATAGCTCCTTTTGGTGTCTTATCTTCTGAAGCTGCCTCAAGGACAAGCAAGGAGAGTTGTTAAAAAGTTAGTTACTTTTCACAGCCTGCAGACCCTTCAAAGGCAAGAAAGCAAATAGAAACTTGAAAAGGCAAATAAGCCAGAAAAGTGTACTAATAAATGCAGTTAACAGGATTATTTTTTGATGCCAGATCCACCAACTGAAGATTGGAGGATGTGTTCATTTCTTCTACTCAGCAACAATTGAGGAAGCATGATTTTCAAGGCCTGTGTTCTAGGTAGAGGAAGGGTGACTCACCCAGTTATTGGATCTCTACTTCTAGTCTCTGGAAGGCAGATATTTTTATAAAAAATACAGACAGCTAGGCTCTAAACACTGGACAAGAGGTCTGTAATCATCCTGTCACATCTCAGGTCAGAGGGTCTTGGACTGCTAAAGAAAGAGCTGATCATTGTCTTAAGGACCTGGAGCTAGCCGAGAGCCATCTTGCTGTGATTTTATCAGCCTCATCAGGATAATTTTCCTCCTCTTTCTTGCATGAATAATGTAACTGGTGCTATTACTTTTGTTTTTAGTCACTTTTCCTAGACTGTACTTCCCTTCCCAGCCCTCCTTTCTCCTCTGTAGCCAAGTCATCGCTTCTCTTTATTTAAATGAGTTTTAGAATCCAGGGGATAAAACAGAAAGATAGACCTGGCGTGGTGGCTCACGCCTTTAATCCCAGCACTTTGGGAGGCCAAGGCGGGTGGATCACCTGAGGTCAGGAGTTCGAGACCAGCCTGACCAATATGGTGAAATCAAGTCTCTACTAAAACTATAAAAGTTAGTCGGGTATGGTGGCATGTGACTGTAGTCCCAGCTACTCGGGAGGCTGAGACAGGAGAGGTGCTTGAACATGGGAGACAGAGGCTGCAGTGAGCCAGTATTACACCATTGCACTCCAGCTTGGGTGACAGAGTGAGACTCCATCTCAAAAACAAAAAAAAACAAAACAGAAAGATAATTCCTTGAGCACAGGCTTCACTCTCTTTATTCTCAAAATCCTGTATCTACATTATTCTTTACAGTTTATGAAACACTTATTTAATCTCATTTAACGCCCAAGATAGTAATATAAGTTATTTTTTTCTTTTTTCTTTTCTTTTTTTTTTTTTGAGACAGAGTTTCACTCTTGTTACCCAGGCTGGAGTGCAATGGCGCGATCTCGGCTCGTCGCGATCTCGGCTCACCGCAACCTCCGCCTCCTGGGTTCAGGCAATTCTCCTGCCCCGGCATCCTAAGTAGCTGGGATTACAGGCACGTGCCACCATGCCCAGCTAATTTTTTGTATATTTAGTAGAGACGGGTTTTCACCATGTTGACCAGGATGGTCTCGATCTCTTGACCTCGTGATCCACCCTCCTCGGCCTCCCAAAGTGCTGGGATTACAGGCTTGAGCCACCGTGCCCGGCTATTTTTTTTCTTAAAATCAAGATCACTTAATACAGCCAAATATGACAAAGTTAAAAGGTATAAAACCTGGTACTAAACATAAATTATCTGATTCTAAATCAAGTGGTCTTTGGGAAATCCTGTCATTTCAGAAGGTCAGATGGATGTGGAGGGCAGAAACTGACCTCAGATTATGTATGCCAGGGCCTCCTGA